TGGGGGCGAGGCGACAGAGAGAGGATTCCGGAGGAGCGGTGCTGGGTAGTGAGTACTGAGTAGTGACGAGCGAGAGAGAGAAGCGGGTCAAAACCTGTTCTTTTCCTCCTTTATAGTAAAGGTAATTCACTAAATTGCTCTTGCATCTAGTTTGGATTTTTTTTTATTTTTTATTTTGGGTAGGAAAGATAACCTTATATTAATTACGGAACAATACCTCTAACGTATTGAAAATGGTTCAAAAATATACTCCGTTAACCTTTGGTCCGCAAATACCCCAAATATTTATTTTTGGGCTCAAACTTATCCCTATAACTAACAGAAGGGCCAACAATACCCCTAACGTATTGAAAATGGCTCAAAAATACCCTACGTTAACCTTTTGGTACGCAAATGCCTCTAACGTTTATTTTTGGGCTCAAACTTACCCCTATATCTAACAAAACTAACATGGTCAATGTTTTTACTTTAATTTCGCCATGTGGCATATTCTTAACCTGACACATATAGTATTTGTATTAAATAAACTCACATGTATCTTTTAAAATACCCAACGACCCTGACCCGCTCCTATATATTTGGACGGTCAGCTAAAAATAATTATATTCGCTAGTTAAATATATAAAAAATATACATTAATTATATATAAAAATATATATATTATGCATTAATATTTTAATATATATTTTACGTGATATTATTTTTAGGAGAAATTATATGGTGTAGTTTTCCCTTCAAATTTTGCAGATCTTAACAAGTTTAACAAATATAAATTTTTATTTGCAAACATAAAAATTATAATGTTCTATTTATATGATTCTAAAGGAGAAGCAACGAAATAGATGGAAAGAAAATTATTTAAAATCTTTAATTATTTACATATCCAACTGCTTAGCACATTAATGGACTTCACATGATCTTTTTCATGAAAACTAATAGTGTTTTAATATATAACGATAGAGCTAAAATATTAGCAAACATTGTCGTTCCATTGTCAGATTTGCTTAATAAATTCGAGTTATAGATCATAATTAATAGGAAAAACTACACCGTATAATTTCTCCTAAAATTAATATCATGTAAAATATATATTAAAATATTAATATATAATATACATATTTTTATATATAATCAATGTATATTTTTTATATATTTAACTAGCGAATGTAATTATTTTTAGCCGACCGTCCAAATATATAGGAGCGGGTCAGGGTCGTTGGGTATTTTAAAAGATTCAGGTAGATTTGTTTAATACAAATAATATACGTGGCGGGTTAAGAAAATGCCACATGGCGAAATTAAAGTCAAAAAATTGACCAGGTTAGTTCTGTTAGATATAGGGGTAGGTTTGAGCCAAAAAACAAACGTTATGAGCATTTGCGGACCAAAAGGTTAACGAAGGGTATTTTTGAGCCATTTGCAATACGTTAGGGGTATTGTTGGCCCTTCTGTTAGATATAGGGTTAAGGTTGAGTCCAAAAACAAACGTTAGGGGCATTTGCGAACCAAAAGTTAAAGATGTACGTAC